GTGATGTCTCGGATCGTGTTTTTGGGATCCTTAAGGGGGAGAGGGAGCAGCCCCAAGTCGTGGTCCACATAGGCACCAACGACATAGGTAGGAAAAGGGATGGGGACGTAAGGCAGAAATTCAAGGAGCTAGGGTGGAAGCTTAGAGCTAGAACAAACAGTTGTTATCTCTGGTTTGTTACCCGTGCCACGTGCTAGCGAGGCGAGGAATAGGGAGAGAGAGCAGTTGAACACGTGGCTACAGGGATGGTGCAGGAGGGAGGGATTCAGATACCTGGATAATTGGGGCTCATTCTGGGGTAGGTGGGACCTCTACAAACGGGATGGTCTGCACCTGAACCAGAGGGGTACCAATATCCTGGGGGGGGGAAATTTGCTAATGCTGTTCGGGAGGGTTTAAACTAATTCAGCAGGGGAATGGGAACCTGAATTGTAGCTCCAGTGTACAGGAGGTTGAGAGTAGTGAGGTCATAAATAAGGTTTCAAGGTCGCAGGAGTGTACCGGCAGGCAGGAAGGTGGTTTGAAGTGTGTCTACTTCAATGCCAGGAGCATCTGGAATAAGGTGGGTGAACTTGCAGCATGGGTTGGTACCTGGGACTTTGATGTTGTGGCCATTTCGGAGACATGGATAGAGCAGGGACAGGAATGGTTGTTGCAGGTTCTGGGGTTTAGATGTTTCAGTAAGATCAGGAAAGGTGGTAAAAGAGGGGGAGGTGTGGCATTGTTAGTCAAGGACAGTATTATGGTGGCAGAAAGGACGTTTGATGATAACTCGTCTACTGAGGTAGTATGGGCTGAGGTTAGAACCAGGAAAGGAGAGGTCACCCTGTTGGGAGTTTTCTACAGGCCTCCGAAAAGTTCCAGAGATGTCGAGGAAAAGATTGCAAAGATGATTTTGGATAGGAGCGAAAGTAACAGGGTAGTTGTTATGGGGGACTTTAACTTTCCAAATATTGACTGGAAACTCTATAGTTCGAGTACTTCAGATGGGTCAGTTTTTGTCCAGTGTGTGCAGGAGGGTTTCCTGACAGTATGTAGATAGGCCAACAAGAGGCGAGGCCACATTGGATTTGGTACTGGGTAATGAACCAGGCCAGATGTTAGATTTGGAGGTAGGTGAGCACTTTGGTGATAGTGACCACAATTCGGTTACGTTTACTTTAGCGATGGAAAGGGATCAGTATATACCGCAGGGCAAGAGTTATAGCTGGGGGAAAGGCAATTATGAGGCGATGAGGCAAGATTTAGGATGCATAGGGTGGAGAAGGAAACTGCAGGGGCTGGGCACAATTGAAATGTGGAGCTTGTTCAAGGAACAGCTACTGCATGTCCTTGAGAAGTATGTACCTGTCAGGCAGGGAGGAAGTGGTCGAGCGAGGGAACCGTGGTTTACTAAAGAAGTTGAATCTCTTGTCAAGAGGAAGAAGGAGGCTTATGTAGAGATGAGGCGTGAAGGCTCAGTTAGGGTGCTTGAGAGTTACAAGTTAGCCAGGAAGGACCTAAAGAGAGAGCTAAGAAGAGCCAGGAGGGGACATGAGAAGTCTTTAGCAGGTAGGATCAAGGAAAACCCTAAAGCTTTCTATAGGTATGTCAGGAATAAAAGAATGACTAGAGTAAGGTTGGGGCCGGTCAAGGACAGTCGTGGGAAGTTGTGCGTGGAGTTCAAAGAGATAGGAGAGGTGCTAAATGAATATTTTTCATCAGTATTCACACAGGAAAAAGACAATGTAGTTGAGAATGCTGAGATACAGTCTATTAGACTAGATGGGATTGAGGTTCATAAGGAGGAGGTGTTAGCAATTCTGGAAGGTGTGAAAATAGATAAGTCCCCTGGGCCAGATGGGATTTATCCTAGGATTCTCTGGGAAGCTAGAGAGGAGATTGCAGAGCCTTTGGCTTTGATCTTTGTCGTCATTGTCTTCAGGAATAGTGCCAGAAGACTGGAGACTAGCAAATGTTGTCCCCTTGTTCAAGAAGGGGAGTAGAGACAACCCTGGTAATTATAGACCAGTGAGCCTTACTTCGGTTGTGGGTAAAGTGTTGGAAAGGATTATAAGAGATAGGATTTATAATCATCTAGAAAGGAATAATTTGATTAGGGATAGTCAACACGGTTTTGTGAAGGGTAGGTCGTGCCTCACAAACCTTATTGAGTTCTTCGAGAAGGTGACCAAACAGGTGGATGAGGGTAAAGCGGTTGATGTGGTGTATATGGATTTCAGTAAAGCGTTTGATAAGGTTCCCCATGGTAGGCTATTGCAGAAAATACGGAGGCATGGGATTGAGGGTGATTTAGCGGTTTGGATCAGAAATTGGCTAGCTGTAAGAAGACAGAGGGTGGTGGTTGATGGGAAATGTTCATCCTGGAGTTCAGTTACTAGTGGTGTACCTCAAGGATCTGTTTTGGGGCCACTGCTGTTTGTCATTTTTATAAATGACCTGGATGAGGGTGTAGAAGGATGGGTTAGTAAATTTGCAGATGACACCAAAGTCGGTGGAGTTGTGGATAGTGTGGAAGGATGTTGCAGGTTACAGAGGGACATAGATAAGCTGCAGAGCTGGGCTGAGAGGTGGCAAATGGAGTTTAATGCGGAAAAGTGTGAGGTGATTCACTTTGGAAGGAGTAACAGGAATACAGAGTACTGGGCTAATGGTAAGATTCTTGGTAGTGTGGATGCGCAGAAAGATCTGTGTCCATGTGCATAGATCACTGAAAGTTGCCACCCAGGTTGATAGCGTTGTTAAGAAGGTGTACAGTATGTTATGTTTTATTGGTAGAGGGATTGAGTTTCGGAGCCATGAGGTCATGTTGCAGCTGTACAAAACTCTGGTGCGGCCGCACTTGGAGTATTGCGTACAGTTCTGGTCACTGCATTATAGGAAGGATGTGGAAGCGTTGGAAAGGGTGCAGAGGAGATTTACCAGAATGTTGCCTGGTATGGAGGGAAGGTCTTACGAGGAAAGGCTGAGGGTCTTGAGGCTGTTATCGTTAGAGAAGAAGGTTAAGAGGTGACTTGATAGAGACATACAAGATGATCAGAGGATTAGATAGGGTGGACAGTGGGAGCCTTTTTCCTCGGATGGTGATGGCTAGCACGAGGGGACATAGCTTTAAATTGAGGGGTGATAGATATAGGACAGATGTCGGAGGTAGGTTCTTTACTCAGAGTAGTAAGGGCGTGGAATGCCTTGCCTGCAAAAATAGTTGACTCGCCAACTTTAAGGGCATTTAAATGGTCATTGGATAAACATATGGATGATAATGGAATAGTGTAGGTTAGATGGGCTTCAGATTGGTTTCACAGGTCGGCGCAACATCGAGGGCCGAAGGGCCTGTACTGCGCTGTTATGTTCTATGTATCCATACTGATAAATCACGCCTACGCTTTGAGCTCTTCTGCAGTAAGCATGTATGTGACAACTTAGCAGGTGCTTTTTGGAAATGCGAATACATCTACTGGTTTCCTTTAGTCCACCCTGCTTGCTATTTCTTCAAAGAAATCCAGTAAAATTATTGGACATTATTTCTCTTTCACAAAACACGTTGCCTTTGCCATTTTCTGAAGAAGGGTCTAGGCCCGAAACGTCAGCCTTCCTGCTCCTCTGATGCTGCTTGGCCTGCTGTGTTCATCCAGCTCTACACCTTGTTATCTTTGACTTTGTCTGATTTGTATTGGGCTTTTGGAAGATGTTACAGATTGAAGGCAGTTGTGGTTTCATGGAAACCAGAGGGAATATGACAATCCCTGCAGATGGTAATACTAGGTTGGTCTAATTCTTGGATGAAACCTGAAATTTATGTTTATTTTCAGTTGTTTACCACAGTGGTCAGTCACTGAAACGTATTTACACAATGCTGCAGGTGTTCCTTAACAAAGCAGCATTAAAAAGGGGAAAGAAATCAAACAAATCTTAAAACAGTTAGAAAGATATTAAGCCAAATAGCAAAACAATTTAAAAAATTTTTTTGCCAGTACATTTTCTTTATACAGATATGGAGTTCCAGAGAAACTTCACCCGTATCTGAATTGTTCAAGTTTTTCCTGAACTGGCTCCTCCAAGTTTCTTCTAGGCCTGTGGAGGCAATTTTACAATTAATTTTGCGTCTAAACATTTCACAATTTTCATTGTCTAAACATATTTTTTTTAGTTCTAACATTTGGTTTCTATCCAAGCTCTCATGGCTTAGAAACTATACAAAAATAGAACACTTCATTAACAGTGACTGGTTACTCTGAATAAAAGCTGATTCTTCTACAAGGAGAAACTGTTCTCCCTTTATAGAATCAAACAGTAGAGAAGAGGCCTTTCAGCCTATCAAGTCTATACTGCCAAAAATATACCTGTGTGTATATATACTAGGCCCATAGCCTTGAATGTTACGGCACTTCCAGTGCTCATCCAAGTACTTTTTAAAGGTTGAGATTTTCTGCCTCAACTACCCTCCTGAACTGAACTCCTCCTGATTCTTCTGAACCGAATCCGTGAACCTTCTGTTTTGAAGTCAAATCTAAACTGATGGTTTTCTGATCTGTTGTAAACTCAAATACAAACATTTCATCCATTTAAGTGAGAGAAGGTTCTCTCAGTTGCATGCTTTCTTGGAACAGATATACTTGGGTCACTGTTCCAAATGATTTCCTGATCTTTTTTTCTTAAAACAAACCTTCACAAAACTGACCCACATCCACCTGCCTTTTTTTAAGACCCAAATCCTAATATATGCACTTTTCAACACCAGAGTTGAAGGGTTGTAGGTCTGCAGGGGGTTTTGGTCAGGGGGAGGGTTATATGGATGGAGGAAGTTACGAAATCAGTGGTGCAAACCACAGGAATTTGCACTTAGCAGCCTGACTTAGTTTTGAGAGCTATACTACTCTTGCTTCAAGGTTTATTGATATGTGCTCAAAAATTGCACTTTTTAACAGGTTGCAAGTACAAAAAACACCATCAGACCAAACAAACCTACCACTCCTAGTGCAACTCCTCGAAAAAAGAAGGATTTGAAAAATTTTCGAAATGTCGATAGCAAGCTAGCAAACCTAATTCTGAATGAAGTTGTGGACAGGTAAATTTGTGTTGTATGTCATGGATTTTGGTTGCATTATACATACAAGTGGAAAACACAAAACTGTATTTGCATCAGGGGGACCTTTGATGTTAGTGCTGAAAGTTTTGTAAAATATCTAGCTCTCTTCTACTTTTACATCTGATGACAAGTAAAGTATAGGCCATGTCTTGTACTTCATACAGTGCAGCAGTTCCAGAGATGGGCATGTATTTTGGATAGATTTAAACCAAGTTCTTGTTCAACTTATTAAGTAGTTCTAAAGATTCTTCTGTGGTACTGTACAAAGATGATCTGTGATGTTCTCTTGGGTGTTGGTGACACCTGGTATTTTGTACTTTAAAATACAATTCACTGGATGAAGTTATGACAGGCATGGCCAAAGTTAATTGCCCATCTCTAGCTGCTGAATTAAATCGGTGAATTTGATGTCGTAAAGAAACTTTAGTTGAGAGCATGTACTATATTGTGAATCAGAGACAAATCAAGGAAAACATTAAAGGTTTCATATGCTGCGAATCTTAATGCATGTCTTTGGTGCTTGAGTTTATACAGAATTATATCATGTTATCTGGTAATACGAGTGGAAGTATCCGAGTGGGTGTATTGGGGGTAAGTGAATCAGTGGAGTGGAGACAGATGGACCCCATATTCAGAAGCAATCATTGTTACAAGAAAAATAACTGAAGAGCCTAGGTGAGTGCAGATGAATTGATGGAAAATATAACATCTCTTACTTAGTGCACCATCCGTCCGTTTTGAAGATATTGCTGGGCAAGAGCTGGCAAAACAGGCGTTGCAAGAGATTGTCATTCTTCCATCTCTTAGGCCTGAGGTAAGCAAAATGCACCTGCCTGAGAATCTTTGTGGTACTTGTTGCACTCTGTCGAGTTTTGATTTCATACTTTGGTGAAATTTTAGGTACTTCAAGATAGGCCATCTTATACTTTCCCACTTGAGCTACTTGTGTTTGGAAGCATTTATAACAAGTACTAAGTAAGATTCCCTTCAAGGCCAACCTTAAATAAGCTCTTCTGGTTGAGACTTTATTTATATTTCCCACACTAGTGATTGATGTACAATGGTGGAAGTGGTTTCATGCAATTATACAATATCCTGTTCCATGAAATGCTTACAAGCCCTTACCCAAAATGGGATTTTTGCAATTAGGGATAGAACATAAAACTAAGACAAAACTTATACTGAGTTTATCATATGTAATGGATGATTGTGTAGCGAAGAGAAAAGGTAGTACCTTCTATCCAGGAAAAGGACATGGGAGAAAATTTAAACATTGTTTTAAGTAATCTTTCCTTTAAAAAGGGAAGGAAATTACTCCATTTGATTCTTTGAAGTCTCTACCAAGTTTCTTTTTTTCACTAAAAAAAAAGCTTCATTTAGTCCTTCATGTTTTCTGATATCTCTGCAATTTTTTTCCTGCTTCAATCATTTATCCAGTTTTGTTTCTGAAGGTTGTTGTTGAATTTCTATTCACAATCCTATTAGCTGCAAGTTCGTTATCTCTTGGTAACTCTGGTTTTATATTGAAGGTACTCTTTAAAATATGCAGCTTTTTTAAAAGTTTCAGTTTTTTCGAATGTTCTCGTATACAATTGCATTGAATGCACAGTATGGTAATAAGGCCATTTAGCCTAACCAATCTTTTACCAATGTTTATGCTTGAAATGAGCCTTTTCCCACCCTCCTTCATCCAACGCTAAAAGCATATTCTTGTATTCATTTCTGCCTTAATTATTCATTTTATATTTCTTTTTAAATATGTTTATACAATTTCACTTAAACTACTGTATGTGCTGCACATTCTGAGCACTCCCTAGGTAACAAGGTGTAGAGCTGGATGAACACAGCAGGCCAAGCAGCACCAGAGGAGCAGGAAGGCTGACGTTTCGGGCCTAGACCCTTCAGAAATGGGGGAGGGGAAAGGGGTTCTGAAATAAATAGGGAGAGAGGGGGAGGCGGATAGAAGATGAGTAGAGGAGACAGACTGGTCAAAGAGGCGGGGATGGAGCCAGTAAAGGTGCGTGTAGGTGG